TCGGCTCTTGCATGAATGTGGCTTGACTACACATATCCGGTCATTTGATAGGACATTAAGATCGAGGAAACTCCTGTCATTGATCGACTTCTCCTTATCAACCTTCACAGGTCCCAACGATTCAGCAAGGCCGGTTCCGTCAGGAAGACCAACCTCGATATTATGGGTCTTCCAGTCAGTGCCCTCAGAATGAGTTCCTTTTAGGTCATCAAAGCTCGGTCTACCAAGATCCTGGTGGCCGTCGAGTGTCTCAAGACGGGGCAGAAAGCATGCGCTGCTGACAAGAAGGGAAAACATTGGAACTGGCAACACAGGAAAGAACAACTTTGGAGACTACAATGACGGTGACAACAACATTGGTGAGCAGGACTGGAAAGGCAATGTCTTGGCACTGCTCTCGAAGGATTGCCCGAGAATGAGGGGCAGGAGGATCGTGCTTGACAAGCATATTCCACTTGCCCACACCCATGCACAATCTCTGAGTGCAGGGAGCTACAACGAGGGCAACAACAACTGGGGAAGTAGGAACAAGGGTACCAAACTCCGGTGCAATGATGCAACGGGAACTCGGAAGGTAGTCAACACATGCAGTCTCAAGGATCTCCGCAAGTCCATTGTTGTGAAGTACAACCCTCCGCCTCCGCCACCAAAGAAGGCGTCTCCCACTCCCCCCAAGAAGACGTCTCCCCCTCCCCCCAAGAAGGCGTCACCCCCTCCCCCCAAGAAGACGTCTCCCTCTCCCCCCAACAAGACGTCTCCCTCTCCCCCCAACAAGACGTCTCCCTCTCCCCCTCCAAAGAACATGTCTCCTCCTCCACCACCATCAGTGAGATCACTTCCTCTACCTTCCCCCCTCTCTCCTCCCCCCTCTCCGCCTCCACCCTCTCCTCCCCCCTCTCCGCCTTCGCCCTCTCCTCCCCCCTCTCCGCCTCCGCCCTCGCCTTCTCCCCCCTCCCCTCCGCCGTCTCCTCCTCCCCCCCTCTCCTCCGCCGTCTCCTCCTCCCCCCTCCCCGCCGCCCTCTCCCCCCCCACCCCCGTCCCCACCCTCCCCACCGCCTCCTCCGCCAACACCGACCCTGGCTATAGACAAAACTGTGTCCTCCACTATCAAGTTCACCATCACCTCGACATACAGCTTCCAAATGGTGTTGGTGTATGTTGATGGGAGTCTAACGTACAACTGGGCCGTGGACCATGTGACAGTATACGAGACCACTCCACCAGAGAAACACACGTCTGATGATTCTCACACGTGGTATGTCAAGGTGACCTACCCAGGCCTTATCAACTCGCCCGTGTCGAACGCCGTCGCGATGTTGGGTTAGGGACAGTGGTCTGCATCACACACGAGGTTTGCACCGGTGTCATGGACCCTCAGCCTCGCGCTGTGCCTGCCTCATCCGGTGTCTTCCTGCCCAGCCTGACACCAGCGTGCCAGCCGGGCGCCCCCTCCATGAGGAAACAGTAGCAGGTGCCACCACGTTGACCAAGGTCCTCGTAACCTGTGGGTGGCCCCGACCTTTTGACCCTGGACCGTTCATGGGCCTCTGCAAGCAACCTGTTGTGACTGTCTTTGTGCGCACCGGTCTGACTGTGTAACGCCATCAGCTGCAATGGGTGATGAGGAGCAGGCAATCCACGGTGAGCATCTCCTGGCGGGTTTCATTGTGCCTAGGAACTGTGAGATGGGTCACTCTCGTCCACAGCCCACTAGCTGTACCCCGTGAGCAGGTGCCCTGGGCATGATATTGGATGGGTGGATCCAGTTGTAGGGAGAGTGTGCAAGGATGGGTGGAGGACACTGCCCTTGGCACAGCCGGATCCCCTCAGGTAACGAGAAGCAGGAAGGTCTCTGGCACGCACCTTTCCAAGGCAGAGGGTCACGGCAACACCCCGGGCCGCTCCTGGGCCCCACGCCACTCTCGGTGGCCCTTGTTGGGCCACGGCAGTATATGATGTGGGTGAGCCTCGCACACCAGCCAAGGGACTGCATGCACTTGCATGGAGAGCCTGTCAAGGTCACCCTGGGCTTCCTCCCGCGCGTGGCTTGCTCGGGGGAGCCAAACGGCGCTCCCAGCTCCCCACCAGGATGTGCATTGACCCTCCGAGGCGCCCTGCCTCAGCCCTCCGTGCCCAGGCTGTCACGCAGGGACTCGGATCCGCCCCTGGCAGGCCCGAGGGGCGTCAGGCCCGCCTCCTGCATGTCTGTCAGAAAGCGCGACTTCCCCGCCTCGTTCAGAAACCTGGGGCCGCAGGCGGGACTGGGTGTCAGGCGCATGGGTGGTGGGCCAGGCAGGAGGGCACGCCCCGGGGTGCTGCCTTGAGCCTGGCATGCGAGGGTATTCCCAGAAAGAGGCCCTGGAAGCTGAAACCCCAATGGACCGGCATCCCTGCCCTGTCCCCCCTCACTCACCCTTTCCTTGCATCCTTCAGGAAGGAGTTCCAGGCATCGGGCTGGAAGTGCTGGCTCGCCGCCTCCCGCATGGCTGCCGCGCACTCCACCGCCTGCACCGGAGCGAGAGGGAAGGGGGTCAGGGGGACGGGGATGAGGAAGTGACAGGGAGATGTTCCAGCCTTGCAGGGAGACAAAGCAGGGTGGACCCCGTACTGCTGCGTCCCAGAATGGGCCCCCTGTTGGCCCCAGATTCCGGGGTCGCATGGTTCCGTGCCCCGGAAGCCTTCCCCCTCCACACCGGCCCGGCCACTCACCGCGTCGACGTCCCGGTCCCCGGGGCTGCCCCGCATCAGCTCCAGGATGTGGCGGTGCATGCCCCGCAGCGCCGCCAGGGACTGCGCCGCGCCTTCCTCCCCCAGCGCTGCGTGCATGTCTTGGATGGCCAGCTCGGGGCGCAGCCTCTGGCTGGGCGACCTGCCCAGGGCCCTGCGCGGCCCGCCCAGCCCGGCGGCGGAGCGCAGCTCGGCGCATGCCTTTGCCAGCCCAGGCTCCGAGCCAGGGAGGCCCTCCCGCTCCAACGCAGACCTCTGTGGAGTGATGGCATGGGCGGGAATGGGGGGAGGGAGGGGAGTGCAGGCGCCGGGGGGGACGGGGCTGGGCTGGGCGGCGGACGACACACTGTCGGGCAGCAGCATCACGCTGCCGAGCTCCCCCGCTTCCCAGCGGACACCCTCCTCCCAAACCCCATACGACGACCTCCTCCCGCCCACCAGCGCATCCGGGCCCGGGTCGGCCCCCGGCTCCACGCCCAGCGCCTTGTTGGCCACCAGGCGCAGGAAGGCGTGGAGCGAGGGGTTGGCCACGTGCTCCGGCACCAGTCGCTCCCGCGGGCCTGCTCAAGGAGGGAAGGGAATGGGGCCGTGGGGGCGTGCCTCTCAAGCCTGGGACACGGTGGCCGGGCCTGACAGCGTCTGTGGCCGGCCGCCGGATGGCCGGAGGGAGGAGGAGGCAGAGCGGCACGCCCAGAGGCCAGCCCGGCCCCGCGGGCATGCCGCAGGGTGCGTGGCACCTTCACGCGGCCGCACACCACCCCGATCCGAGCGTCTCACCCTCCTGCAGGGCCCCGGCCCGGACCAGATCCAGGGCGGCCTGGGCGGCGCGCAGCCCCGGCTTCCGCTCCGGCCGGTCGAATCCGGGGAACCGGAAGTCGCGCACGTCCTCGGCAAAGGGCAGGACATTGAGTAGGAGGTGTGCGGGCGTGGCGCGCGCTGCAGGCACAGGCGCGGCGGCGCAGACGTGGATGGCGCCGCCGGCGCGCGGGACGTAGCGCACGATGGCCACCTGGTCGCGCTTGTGGGCGGCCGCGGCCAGCGCTGCCAGCGCCGCCAGTGCGGTGGGGGAGGCCTTGTCCGCCACCACCACCCAACACTCCTGCGTGAAGTTGTGTGTGGAGGATGTGTGTGTGTGTGTGTGTTTGGGAAGGGGGGGGTCAAAGGGGGCGGTGTTGGGATCTCCAAAGGGTGGGGCGGTGCGGGTCATGGGTGGCGTGCCTCGCTTCGTCACGTGGCATGGCGGAGGTGGTGCCGTGCTGCCCGCAGACTCCCTGGGTCCCTCCTCCCCGCAAGTAACTTCTGGGCACCATGGAAACCCTCGGCCTGCCTTCATGTAGTGGTGGCGGGGGATGCTGGCCGCGTCCACGAAACCAAGCAGGCTGAGTCCGCGCGACACTGCATACTTGAGGTACCGCTCCTCCTCCGATGACACGGGCACCAGCTGCTTGCCGTACTGCGGGGAACCAAGGAGGCGAGGTTGGGTGACAGTGGGCTAAGCGGCTTGCCGGGCTGGCACGGAGCGCGTGAAGTCTGATGCGCCGGAGCGAGCATATGCCAGGGTGGCCAGGCGCCCCAGATGCCAGAGCGCAGCATCAGGGCGCGCCCGATCAAGGCCGGCCACGTCAGGCCTGCGCTGGCGCATGAGACTGACGGCGGCTTGTGACCT